AAACTAGGACTAAACAATGGTGAGAGCCAGGATAACCTAAATGAAAAAAATAAGATCTAAAGAAAAGTTCAGCATAGGAAATGTGTATAGAAGTAGTAATAAAGATAGGCTTAATTGTTACTGTTGTAATGCTAGAAGTATAAGGAATAAAATAGATGACTTTAGAGCACTGGTAGGAATGGAGGATTTTGATATAATGAGAATAACTGAAACATGGTTAAATGTAAATTATTTTGATGAAAGAACTTTTTTTTGAAATACAGTGTTATGGGTTATCTAATAGAGGGGGAGGAGTGGCTTTATGTAAAATGTAAATTATATCCTGTTGAAGTTGAGAATATTAAAATAATAGCAACGAGGTTGAATCTATTTGGGTTTTTATTAGTGGATTTCCTTTTGGCTTGGTAGGTATTTAGGTTAGTAATATATTCCATTCCTCTTCGGGGTATGAAATATAACCAGGGGCGGTCAGAAACATTTGTTTCTCTTCACCCCACTCTATAATTAGAAATATGTTGCCGAGGTTTTTTAAGTATTAAACGCTTACGTGAGTGATGGGTTTGGCTTATAGTTGTTGAACGGGTAATTTTCACAATGGTAAACTCACAATTGGCGGGAAAAGCTGTGGGGAGACGTGGAGAAGAAGAGAAAGACGGAGAGCTTCGCTGGGTTGTTTGTTGGCAATGGGATTTTTCCTTCTTTCTGCTGTACTTGGCGTTGAATGACCACGCGGCGTCGGGTGTTTGTAGAGCAGAGCAGAGAGATGTAGATCGAGTGCGTCAGTGATTGACTGAAATATTAATACTAAACTGATTGTAAAGTTTAAGTTAGCAGATTCAGGCTTTACAGTTTACTGTTTAGACATTGATAGAGATCTATAGAACTAAAGAGTAACTTTTACTTTTACCTTTTACTTTATTAGTGGATGTAAAGGGAAAAGGCTTTTTATGGGAATTTGTTACAGACCACCAGATGGTGCTGATGAAATTAGTGGGAAACTTCACAATGAGATAAAGATTTAAGCTGTTAATGAAGTCATAATTATGGGTGATTTTAATGTCAGGCATATAAATTCAGAGCTGCTTTTACTCAAACCATGAGAGAGAAAGGTTTTTGAAACTGTTCAAGATGGTTTTCTTCACTAATTGGTCAAGAAACAATGCTATTTTGGATATATTTTTCACTTCCAATATAGAAATTGTTGTGAAGGTGGAAATTGGGGAACATCTGGGTGTAAGTGATCACTGCTCTATTAAGTTCGATGTTTTACTGCATATGGAGATCAGGAATAATAATATTTTGATTTTGGTTTTTGATTTACGTCAATGACGTAGATGAAGAAATGGTCAATAAATTACTTAAATGTGTTGATGATATTAAGGTCTTGGGTGTTGCTAGCTGTGAAGCGGATGCTGCTGCTCTACAAACGAATTTCGATCATTTAGTGTGTTTGGCAAATAAATGGCAGATGGGTTTTAATTACACTAAATTCAAGATAATGAATGTGAGTTATCATAATTTGAATTATAAATATCATTTGGATGGGAATAACCATAACAGTGTCAGAAAAGAAAGGAATCTTGGTATAATGGTTGATCAGTTTCTTAAGCCATCTAAGCAGTGTGCTGTTGCT